CAAATAATTATATTTGCAGATAGCTGAATTTTAGAAAGAAAAAAATGTTTCCGACTGGACTACTTATTAGAGTGTGTTTTGTTCAGTAGAAACATTTCAAATGGAAAATGTATGTAATATTGAGAATTAACCATATTAATCCTCAGGTTCTGTATCATTGACAGACAGCAACGTCACTTCCTGTTCAAAACAACACCCAAATACACACCTACATGTTTACATTTTTTGATAAACAGCACTATGTTTTATTTGTGTAAGCTGACAATTCCCCGAAATGTGAGTTGTTTAAATCGAAAGTTGAATATATTAATCTACAGTGGGAACATCAACTTGCATAAATTTGTTCTATATTTTTCAAAAATATTGATCAAATCAATGGGGTTATTCAATTATGTTCAATTGGTCCAAAATTCACTAACAAATTTGTAATAATAACTTGTGTAAAAAAATGTTACAGCAAATGATTGGCATGCACACATGTGGTTTATTTAGGGGACAGCTGGTACTTGCTGGCCATAACTGCCCTGTTAAAATATCTATCTTTGTCAATTCGAATTACCGGTACTGAAAAATATTTACTAAGAAATTGCAAGATGGTGTAGCAGTCACTTTGGTGACAATCGCAGTTACTTTGACAAAAATTTTTCACCCTTAAGACTTGAAACTTGAATGCAGTGAAAGTTTAACGGATTTAATTTCAACCACTGGGGCCTCCCTATATAATCTGTATTTTGGGGGTTTTTTTGAGGCCCATATAAAACTCAAGCTTTGTTATCATACTGTATTGGCTCTATTGGAAGTAGTTTATTAGTATTAGTGTATATAAACCCAAAATTATATTTAGAATCATTAAAATATTACTTATATTGTAATTGACATAAGCAATGCTAATACACCAACAAAATTGTCACTACTACAAAAAAAAAACTTTGAATACTGCTGCTGTATATTGAAAAAAAAAACGATATCTGAAATTAAAAAAAAAACTGTAGGGTAAGTGTAAGGCTTCTTTCTCTGGCATAAAAGGATTGGTACGTCAGTGATGACCAGGTTTCCATGGTGACTAATTGTGAATTAATTAATGTAATGTAAATAAAATTTAAGTCAGTTTTTATAATATAAATGTTGAACTTTAAAAAGAATATTTATTAGTCATGAAAGGAATTGAAAGATCGTGAAAGTCAACATCATAAAGTCAAAATCATGAGTAGACAACAGTAGGAGTAAATCATGAAATGAAATCAGCTAAAAAAATGTTGGTTTTATAGACATATAGATCTTGATGAAAAGCATTCTGACCTTTGTATTTGGATTCATAAGATTACAAAATTTTCAGTTACACTAACAACGTCAACAAAATGATTGCAGTCTTGCAGGGATTCTCAAAACATAATCAGGCTTATGGCACTATTCGACATTTGCGTTGCCATACGTTGCCATACCATGCTCATTGTATGCTGATTTCATTTAAATTGACTGTGGTTGCAAGTAGAACAGTTTTAATATGCTTGTCACATTTGTTTTTTAGTGCTTTAAAATTATGTTCATGTCTCAGAAATCTGTTTACTATAAAGTTGCTATAAAAGGTGTGCATTATCTCATGATATTAACCGACTGTGGTAGTGATACATAGTAGATAATATTTGGTAATCGTAGTCCTAAGTAACTATTAAAAAATAGCTAGAAGTTTCGAGCAATGTCTCTTTATTGGTAGCATATAAGAAAATCTTTGAATATTTAGGTAGAAGTAGAACGTAATGACGTAAGAACATACACAACAACCATAAAATGGAATTATTAAAAGATTCCACAATAGAACATGTACATCTGCAGGGAATGAGTGGTTTATTCTTTACTTACAGTAAAATCTGTATTAGAAGCTGCAGCTTCTATTAAAATGACGCAATGTAACTGAGGGGATGCGGTTCCTATTAGAGCAGCTGCACAAATAAGAAATGATGAATTTTTGCTTCTCAATTGTTTGAAATGGTGTGACTTATATTAGGGATGCGGCTTCTAATAGAGTTTTAACGATACCGCTTTGTAACGGCTGATCTGCATACTGTGCTAATTAATTTAACTCAGCTTAATCCTTTTTATGTCAAAGTCACCATCCACTAATTAAGCCTGCATAATTTACTTCTGTATAACAATTGTGATCAACCCCTGTAGTCACTGGGAAATTATGACTGTTTAGTCCAAAATTAACTAAAAATTATAAAACCAAATGATAAGAATAAGGTTAAAACATGTCAAATGATGTCATTTATTAAAACTTTATTATTTTTCCCCATCATGAACTGTATGAATTGAAATTGTCGTGATTGCCCGGGGGAATTATCCTCCAATTTTTGCCTAATAAGAAATAAGAAAACTCGCTCACGACTCAGACTTGAGGTAAATACCATATGTCAGATGTATAAAAAATAGTATAAACTTAGTATTCAACAGATTGTCCCTATTATTTGGAAATAATCATGATTAATCAACTACTTGTATTTTTTCACTGGATGTGCCAAAACAAAATTTTAAGATATGACCAAACCTTTTTATATTAGGAACAAATGGTATGTAACTAGAAATAGTAATTTTGCTAATTGATTCTTTATCAGGATTCTGTGTATAAGATAAAGCCATATAATAAAAGTCACGATAAATAAATGTTAATGATAGCCAACCTTTCTTGTGATTACAATAACTCAAACAGCTTTTATCCAATTTCTTTCAAACCTGGATATTATATTAACCAATTTGGAATGTCGGCTAAGTTTGATTTTTGTTCATGTTCTATGGTGTATTTTTCAAGATATTGATTAAATTTCACTTAAAATTGTCTTCTTCTTGTGGTCCATCCAATACATGCAACTAAAACGATTTTTATCTGATCAAATTCAAATTTGGGAACCTTATCATCAGTATAAAAAGTCAACCAAATTCAATTTTGGTGTAACAAGTGCAAATAATGGGATATAATTTAACTGAAATAAAACATTTGTTAGATGTAGAAATAAGTGGATAGTTGTATTGTTTGATAATGCAAACCAGATGTTACCCCGTAGTAATATGCTCTCTTAGATCTGTGAAGTAGTTAAGTGTACACAGATGTAGTACACCCATATGTTGTTTTTGTTATGGGTATAAGTAAAAAAAGTGAAAAGTGTAGTTTCACGCTTTTTTCAAATCTGGCCATATTTGATTTCGCTTATACACTGTACATGTATATGTGACTGCACTTTTTTAGCTCTGCTGTCAACTTTGTTGAGCGGAGCTTATCATATGAGTGATTGTCAGTCGCCGTCCGTCATCGTCCGTGTCAATGTTTTGCTTTTTCGACTTCTTCTTGAAAACTACAAGCCTGAATGCTTTGATACTTGGTGTATATGTACCTTGAGTTGACCTCTCTCAGATTTGTTCATTTTGTAATGATATCTTCAATTCTCTAATTTTGGTGAATATTTTTGTCATTTTTTGTAAAAAGTGATATTTTCAACTTCTTGTTAAAAACTGCAAGTCTGATTGTTTTTATATTACATATATAGGTACTACATGTGGACCTCTTTCAGATTTGTTAATTCCGTGGTGATATCTTCAATTATCTAATTTTGATGATTATTTTTGTCATTTTTGGTGAAAAGTGATATTTTTGAATTCTTGTTGAAAACAGCAAGTCCCGTTGCTTTGATACTGTACATATTGTTCATTTTCTAATGATATCTTCTGTTCTTTTATTGAAATGTGCATTACTAACAGCGGAGCTATCTCAGCCGACTGGCTGCTTTGCTTGTCTTTGGAACTTTTACACATTCACATTAATTATTCTATACGAGACATCAAGATTAATACAGTACATGAATTATTATACAATATTATTTTATGTAATTATGATGACTTCATTATTCTTGTCTATTTTCGATTCAAACTGTTCCAACCCTGGAAGACGAGTTTTAATCTGATTTATTTCTTTTGTTTCTATTGTTTCAAGCCTTTGTTTCAAGTCGTATCGCCATTGTCTATTTTTCCTTTCAACCCATCATTTATTCCGCTTATTTACTCAACAAAACAGGTTAGACTCACAATTTCTGTGACTGAAAAACCAATCTCGACCGTAAGTGGACTGCTTTGTTCCTGTAGTAGAATTGTTTCAGTTTGAAAATGAATAAGTACACTTCAGGTAGTCTCATAAAGTTTTTGAAAAGGTCTAAGTGGGGCTTTGTACCAGACACTTTCAGATAAGCTCAGTCGATTATATGTCTGAAACGTGTCTTTTACGCAATATATTTTGGACTTTTTGTTACCGATCAATTCGTGACAAACTGACTTCTAAATACGCATTGTGTGTGAACTATGGTTTTAGAAGCCTGCATAGAATATTATTTCACAAGGATCTGTGATTTGGTCATGTTGTGTGATTTTGGAAAAACTCTGACTGCTTCCGAGCTTAATGCTAATTATTCACATAATTATGAGAATATTTGAATAAATTGAAGTGATCATGGAACATGGGAGAACAACAGGTCCTCTTTCCTGTCCTTATAGCTTTCAGTTCGCACCTAAATGTTCGCCAGTATTTTTCACACAAAATATTCAGATGTATTTATACTCACTTTAGTCCCTTTATGCATCGTTAGTTTGTATCCATCCAACCATTTGTTTTTTAATCTAGATTTCAATGGACAAGGTCTTAATAGTTATGTTTTTTTGCAGGTGGCATCATGGACAGAACACAGATGGTATCCATTTGGATTCCACTCTCATTGTTTTGTATGCTATGGATGAGTACAGTTGCTGCTACAAAGTAAGTTCTAATGCTGTACAAAAATTTTATACTTTCAGCAAAATAGCTTTTTAACTTTATATTAATTTATTTTGCAAAGTTGTTAGTCATTGGTTAAAATTGATTCTTATCATTCACCTTAAATGTATTAGTCAAATTTTACTATAAACATTGATTATAAAACTCACACGAGAATATTGAAATTACTTCAAAACAAATGTTATTTCAATAATCAAACTTTCTCTGGTTAATAATGCATGAAACATTAATCATCTTGGCATGTCAATAATGCTCATTATTGTTTAAACAATTTCTCCAAATAAACCATCTATCAATAATTTATTTTAATAACTAGGTTAAATTTATGCATCACCCGCTGACATCGTTATTAACAAGTCAACAGCGGCTTTCGATGTGTTAACAAAAACTGTATTCTAATTTCGAAAAATTGACTGATTCTGTTTTACTGGTATATTTACAAATCAAACATGAAATGATAAAAAATATATCGATGTATATGATGTACCATTTTATGTCACACTTTTAACTGAAGATATACCTCTCTCTACGTCTCTCTTGATCGCTTTGTGATTTCATTCGAAGACTCAGGCATATAAAATCCAGAGCAATATTACGAAACTCTTCATTTGATGTCAACATCGTATAAATACCCTGTATATATACTATAATTTTATTACCAACTCAAACCAAATGGCCAATTTCAGGGCCAATACTTCCTACAAAAGTGTATACTAAGAAAAATTTTTTTGTGTCATGTTTTCTCAAATGTGTTGCTACTTAACAGTTATTAAAAACCCTTTTTAGCATAAATTTGAAATAGCATGCAAGATGTCGGACGGCAAAATTGGATTCTGTTAAAGTGTTTGTTGGTTCAGTCAGGCAATGTGTGGACCAAAACTTCGCCCACTATTTGAAACACCACCCATGGGCTGGGTTTAGAATGGGCGGGGTATCAGCCAAATCCGGTACATATATGTATGTTTATTAATTTCATGATCTGTCGCTACATTGATGTATTCAAGTTGTAATAATTAGACATGATTTACTGTCAACTGAATACGATAGGTCTGGAAAATTAAAGCACCACACTTGTATGAGTGTGCCTTTAACTGGAACCCACTTCCACTGGGTTCTTTAGATAGACATGCACTGTTTTTTTTTTCCATATTGATTTCTTCAGAATTTTCAGTATAACAAAATTATCCCTGGGCTTAATTACCATTCAGAGATGCAATGATTATGCAACAACCTCTCAAAGTTGTTGAATGAAACTCGTGTAGAAATGTGATGTTGGTGCATGAGCGAGACACTGTGTGAAGCTTAGGTGGAGATATGGATACATTATACATACCCCGGTATGCACATCAATTTGTTTTAGAATCTGATTCAAGGTGGCCAAATGGCGGCCATTTTTGTACTAAAACATCATCGAAATTCAAGCATTTTAGGCATTACAGAACCGGTCGTTTATGGATGGAACTCGTTCAAGCTTTGTACATACATTAGAGATGTATTGTTTTGATGATCCGATTCAAAATGGCCAAATGCTTTTCCAGAGCAATATCTACCTATATGAACAAATACTCATTCAGATTCAAGATGACTGAATGTCAATCATTTTAATATTAAAAAATCATTATAATCAAGGATCAGCTTCTAAATCCATATCTCTGACATGTCTATGGTCAAACTATATTACAAAACAGGGACTGTGCCATGCATGGCTTGTTGACTTCTTCTTGAAAACTACCAGCTCAATTGCTTTGATACTTGGTATGTGTGTTCCATGGGTTGACCTCCATGAGATTTGTAACAAGATGAAACTGCCATG